TTTTCGTTCTTGATTTTGTACCGATTACATTTCTGAAACGATTCATATTTTTAGGCACTGCCATGACTAGAGTTGAATTTTAATCCATAATCCTAACATTCCACCTTAAATCGCGTGGACACTGCAATGCTGTCATTGAATATTTTCCTACTAATATAATAACCGATATCCGTCATGCTTGGCTGTACGAGTGCGCCGTTTGTGCGATGCGGAAAAAAAATACATTAAAGTTCTGACGGAGGCTATTCTAGTAACAATAAATGCAAATGAAGCTATGATGGCGTTTATGGTGGGTTCTGTCGGAGGTTACGTTTGGCGGAAGTCTGATGTCTGGAGTCAAGAGGTCAGTTTTGAGTTGGTGTTGACAGGAATTTGGCTTCGTTCGCCAAAAGTTTCAACATTTAATTTATTTCATAAAGACAAAGTTTGTACGTTTAATTCCCGTAAACTTTGGCGGGTCATACTACGACAGTAAACTAATTTAATACTGCACCTGGTCCTTGCTACGGACATACTTTTGCCCGCGAATTTTACTCAACGAACAACAAAATTCGATAGATTTGGAAGTCGGTTCTTGATTGGAATAGACCAACACGGCGTCGGATTTGCAAGAGCCACTGCTGTTTGGATAACCGTCACAGCTGATGTAGTTGTAAACGGCCTCAGGCAGCACCGATAGGATTTTCGTATCCCGTCGAGAGATCATGATACCTCAATTATTGCTGTGTTCTGGTAATGCTGATTCCAGGTTATGCTAGAACCGGTTGACATGTGTGGTAACTAGACCTGAACATCGTAATGATGCATCCTGTTTGGCACACGACTCGCAAGATCCACGTGAAGCTGTTGCGGAAATGTTCGCACTAAGTGGAAACCATGGTTACCGGCTCGCGCGAGTGGTTGGTCACTGTGTTTGCAAGAAGTTTTCTGTTACTTTCTGCTGCCTGTTCTACAGACGAAAACTTCAATTTCTAAAGTAGGTCCTGGTAACAAGAACTGAGGAAGTCAGGTCTGAATAATTTCTCGTGGCCCTCTGTATGCTACACGTCCCGCCAATCACATCCGTCATCCTGAGACTACTCCATTAACACATCGCTTTATATTATTCTATATATCATGTGTGGGTTTTTTTGGCCTCTGCCTGGAATCAAAGCACGGGCGTCCAATCCGTAATAGTCACTTTACTGACTCGGCTTGAAAATAAGTGCAATCCTGACAGCCCCGATAGCGCATTACCCCCGGGGAAAGGGCTTCTGGTACCATTGGATAGGAGGCTGCGTTGGCTCCAGAGCCGGTCTGGATGCGGAGGCCAGAAGAATCCTTTGCCCCTGTCGGGTTCGAATCCCGGTCTACCAGTTCGTAGTCAGACATAAAA